AGAAAGTTATAACAAAAATACTAAAAGTTATTTAGTGCCAAAAAGTTAGGCGACGTGCGCAAGACAAGAAAGCCAGCATACCCCGATGAGCATCGACTTAGATAAAAATCAACAGGGACCAAACAAGGTGATGGCATGGGTATATTCTGGGGACCAATGCTGCAAATTCCATTTTAAAGCAAAATTATTCTTGGAACATGATTTTAACGTGATTTCAACATAATTTTCGGCTTCTATAAATACAAAAACTTGGGCTAAAATGATCTCTCTCTCTCTCTCTCTCTCTCTCTCTCTCTCTCTCTCTCTCTCTCTCAAGTGACATCTATATTATAAAATCTATCAGGAAACGATGGTCTANACACACACACACTCTCTCTCTCTCTCTCTCTCTCTCTCTCAAGTGACATCTATATTATAAAATCTATCAGGAAACGATGGTCTAATTCAATATTCGTTGGAGATGAGAAAAAATCAAGTACATGAATTAAATCAAGAACATGAAGAATCAAAGCTTGATGTTGAAGAACAATAACAAGAATTAGACCGGACATATCTTTCTTGTAGTTATAAATTTCGGGTGATACATTTCTATTCTTCTTCTTGTTTTATTTTTATAAACATGTTCAGCTAGATTCATTTTTGTATCGAATGAAGATGAATCATATTGTTTATTTATTTTAATTCAAGGCTAATAGCTTAATAATTCTTGCATTCTTGATTAGTTTTGCATACTGATTGCAGTGCATAGCTAACAATTAAATAATTAGTTACTTGTTGTAGAGTTTTGGAAGACTCACAATAAGTTTAGAACACGGTAAAATTAACATATGTACAATAAAAGTTAGAAATAATATTTATCACATGTGCAATCATACAGATAATCTAAAACTTAATACATTCTACTCATTTGAATTCGAAATAGGAATATATTGGGGTGGTGACTATAATAGATTTAATTTGTATTGGAAATAAATTTGAATACATTAGCTTTATCAATTGTCAAATGCGCATGAATAAGATTAGATTGCAATTCAAGAATTGAAATAGATAACAATAAGCATACTCTAAATTCAATATAATCTTTCATAATTTGATAAAAAGCAAACTTTTTCAACTTTGTTAGATTAATTTAGCATAAATCACATCAAAAACTTTTTTGTGTTGCATAATTCGAATTCCATACAAAATTAGTGCACTTGAATTGAAATTTATTCCTTATGGGATGATACTCTCTACTCATTTAATCTATATTACTTGTCAACGGTCTCGTGCCCTTGCGAGTTTTACATGATCAAATTTTTGGTGATGTTGCTGGGTATTAAAGTATTTAATTTGAATTTATTAATTTATATATGATTCAATTTTTTTTATTATTTAATTATTTTATTTTATTAATTTTGTTTACCTACCCTGAATTTTTTTATGATTGGTATTCTTTTAGTTACTATTCAAAAGTATATGCGCCGACATGAACGATGAAGATGTGCTTGTAGAAGACATAAATTGTGAGTTTTGTTATGTGATACATTGTACTAGACAATGCTTGTACACATGCACTAATCGCTTTTATTTAAATTTCTATGGCATAAACAAATTTACAATGTTAAAAACTAGTAATTGACAAATCTGATGAAATCTACATGCTTAAGTGAGAGTATGTATCTACACATAGGGACGATGACATCATACTTAGGGGATTTGGTCCTCCCCTAGTGAACGAGAAGTTACTTGCATAATATTATAATGAACTTTCCAGGTTGATGAAAGAAAAATACATGTAGGAAATGCCGCATTCTAGAGCGAATTCAAAATGTGGGGGAAATTTATGATTCTTTGTGGCAGAAAAATTCAATACATAGCAGCACTTGATACCATCAGCATTATAACCATGTAAATCAAGCTGAACACAGACACACATGATAACATTCCAAGTTAACCAGCTGTATAAACCAAGATAGGATGTAAGCATCAAAACAAGTTTAAAATAAATCTAAACATGGCATACCATATCGACTGTTGGTGTCGTACTTTGATTTTATTATTAGATCTATACACAATGGCAGAAAATATGTAACCGAGTGACAATGACAAAATGTTGGTATTCACAAGATCGCAAAATTGACATCTTGTTTGTTATTCATTTATAAGGCATGGCCTGAACTAAGCTATCCACTTGGAGTTCATTGCCTTGGAATGCGTTCAACCCCAGTATCATGTGATTGGCTTGAGTAAGATGATCCTTTTCCAGTCTGGGAGTAAGACCACAATAAGACAGCAGAACCAACTGTAACCACAGAAGCAATCGATGCCCAAACCCATTTCTGTCTTCTCTTCCACCTTTGCCTAAGTTGTCTTGCTATGTCTACATGAGTCAAATACAGTATGAAATCAGAGATTTAATTCTTCTCTGACTAACACAAAATATAAAACCTTGCGGAGGCATGGCCAAGAAACATTTTTATAGAATAAAATGAAAGAAAGCAACAAAAGGCTCAAAAAGTATACTTCTGCTCATAATCTATCCCCCAGTTCATACCAAATCCAGAATTGCTTTTAGCTCAAACAACAATGGGAGTTAAAACTGCTATTCTTTCTGTTTGGTTTTGTTTTATATACCTTGAAGCTTCCAACATATAAAATGCACATCAACTGGAAGGACATATATAGATTTATTACTCTGTTGAAATAAATGCAAGTGTAAGAAAAATAGAAGGGTTATGATATCTTTTAGTACTTCACTAAGCGAAAATAAAATAAGTTTTCCTACTCGACAATTGTAAGCATCATCAGCAAAATCATAAGAGTTGGTAAACAAAGACAAACTAGAAATATAGATTGTGAAAACGAGCGTTGCAGGGTAGTATAAATATGCTTCTCGCCTCAAAAGGAGAGTGAAATGTTGTATCATATGAAGAACAAGAAAATATCAAGTCCACAAATCTACGAATTAGGGAAAAAAAAGGCTTATCTATTAACGGGGCAAAAAGCATAGCCTCTATATCATTAACTACTTCAAGCATCATGTCAAAAGTATCATTCATGTTAACTCGTACAAATGAAACAAAAATGGTTACAAGTACCATTTTATACTACGATAATAGTAATTTATTTTGTACCTGTAGCTTGTATTTTATTTATTCACCAGCTATCAGGGAACACTAACTCTGTACGCTAACCCAAAAACAGCACACAACAAAATGCAAAAGAAAATTTATGTGAGGCAAGAGTTGGACAAGTGGAGAGGGGGAAGAGACCGGGGGGGGGGGGGGGGGGGGAACCCATTACTTGTACCCGCC